GGGGGGGGGGGGAGAAAACCTCAATTTCCAGCTGTATTGAACAGCAATGCAACATCTGCACTGGCTCTGAATGAGTCAAAGCACAAGTGTTTCTATTTGTGGTGAATCTCTGGTAATCTGGACGCAGCAGCACTGCTCATGTGTGCGTGTGAATAGTATGTCCTGCTGCTGTAGAGGTCTGAGAACATGTATGTGTATGGTGATGAGGCTCCCACTGTGCTGTATGCAAATAAGGACACACATTTAAGCTGTGTATAAAAATGTAAATCATGCATCGACAATGAAATTATGTGTTAATGCAAATGTCAGGATATGAAAATGCAGCACCATATTGGCTCTTGGTCTCGCTTTCAAGCAAGCAAGTCAGGGTTCTAGCAACTATTTATTATTGATGTCAAAGAAAGTAATACATTAAATATTAATTCATGATACAACACAATTATTTAAATTCAATCTACTGTGTGCATCTTGACCATATTAAACTGCTCTTTTCAAAGGTGCCGGTGTTGAAGCCGATGGACCTGATGGTGGAGGTGAGCCCGCGGCGAGTGTTCGCCAACGCCCACACCTACCACGTCAACTCCATCTCCGTCAACTCCGACTATGAGACCTACATGTCAGCCGATGACCTGAGGATCAACCTCTGGCATCTGGACATCACTGACCGCAGCTTCAGTATCCTTTGTGGGTTGTATTGCCCATGCAGAGGGAGGAAATGACAAACATACATGCAATCCTGGAGGCAGAGTGCGAACACAAATGCACAAGCACATGTAAAAGCAGGAATGATTTATTAAAGCAGAAGGACTCAGATCATTTATGCATTAACACATAGATGCTTATAAAGAGTCGGTGCCCCCACACACACAAACTCCCACATTACGAATCCCACTTTGTTGTATAAAGAAATGCACAAAGACACACATTGGGGGAGGGTAATATTATTCTTGAAGAGTGAAATTGTATCTTAATGAATAATTCAAAGGCTGCATAAATATTTCAGCCACTTTCTGAGTTCTAATCCAGCTCAATAGGACACAGTACAGTCACATCCCTGAACCCAGACAGGATTTATAGTATTACAGTTTATCTGAATATGGAATTACTTTTCTCCAAACAATCCCAGCAAGGTATATTTATATTGGTTTGCTTTATTTCTCCTGTAACGTATTTACATTGTGTTGGTTATGTGTACATTTGCATACACTTATGTTTTTATTTTGTATGCGGATTATGGACCTGTGTGGGTTTTTTTCACATGAACACAATCTAATTAGTTTCTCATTAAGTCAGTTAGTGAATAGAATTGACAAAAAAAATGTATGAACACACATTATGTACAGTGTGGTAGACTTCAGCAAGTGAGAAACAGTTCAGGCTGAACCAAACTGCAGCCCCGGTGAAGTTGACTGTCGTGACTGTGACTTGTCTTCCTGAGCGGTGCCTTCTCCCAGACATTGTGGACATCAAGCCAGCCAACATGGAGGATCTGACAGAGGTGATCACAGCGGCTGAGTTTCACCCCCACCACTGTAACTTGTTTGTCTATAGCAGCAGCAAAGGCACCCTACGCCTCTGTGACATGAGGGAAGCAGCACTGTGTGACAAACACTCAAAATGTGAGTAAACCTGCTGAGTGCTGAGACATACACATTGTTTTTTTCTCTCTCCACAAGGGTCCTGGAAAGGTCAAAAGGTCTGATACTGGTAGTTCTGCATGTTTAACCTATGAACTACAAGTCAGAGTAAGAGTAATTTTGCGGCTTTTTGAAGCATACCCCATTTTTTTAAATAAATCTTCTACCTTTAAAGGTCCAGTATGTAGGATTCTGTGGTATCTAGCAGTGTAGTTTCCTATTGCAACTCCCTCGCTTCACCCTCCCCTTCCAAGCATTAAGCAGAAACTATGCTGGCTGTGAAAAACTTGTTTGTGTTTGATTGATCCCTTCTGGGCTACTATAGAAACTTGTTGGCTCAACATGGCTGACCCCCTCAAAAATGAGATGCTTTCACTAAATTCAATAATAACCCGGTATAAAGGCTCATTAAAGTAAACAAAAATAAAACAATTCTTATTTCTTATTTGATTATACATTAATGAGAACATATCTATGGGTATTATATTCCATATATGGCATTAGATCCTCCTAAATGTTATGCATAGAGGTTATGTAGTTAAGAGCAGGGACTCTTCCTTGGTGGTGCATTCCAAGATTGGACTAAATACTGTGTTGTCAACTTGTAGGTGATTAAATGAAACCTGCAAAACCACAGGTGTGTTCATTTATTGGAAAGTAAATTATGTGTAAAAGAATTAAAGTTTAGGAGCACAATCTCTTCTTTTTTCACCATTTAATAGTATTTCTTTCCACTGCAGGTCCATACCTTCATTAATATAGAACAGAATTAGTTTACCCATAAATCTGCTGTCCTTAACGGACAACAATTCAATCCATGGAACATTTTCTCTAATGCCTTAGATTTATGGTTTCCCAACTTTCTTCTTTCACCTTATTTTTTACCTGTTTACTTCCAAGTTCAAATGGCTTGTTTCCCATGTGTTTTACAGCTCGAACCTGTATGAGTCATTAGTGCATTCATCCCCTCTCCCTCTCTCTCCCATATTCTCTCCCACTCTCTTCAGTGTTTGAGGAGCCCGAGGACCCCAGTGCCCGCTCCTTCTTCTCTGAGATCATTTCCTCGGTGTCAGATGTCAAGTTCAGCCACAGCGGTCGCTACCTGCTCACCAGAGACTACCTGACTGCCAAAGTCTGGGACCTCAACATGGAGAGCAAGCCCCTGGAGACATACCAGGTGTGTGACTGCCCACATGTAAAAAGCATGAGGGTGTTAAAATACAAAAAAACCGAAGAATTAATATTTTCTCTCTGGCTCAGCTACCGTGATTCCTTCCGGCAAGGAGCAAATTTACTCTGGGAAAGGTGAACTGATCAGCAGTGGAGGAAGCATTGACATATTTTCTTTAAATCCAGACATCTCCCAGAAGGCTGAAATCACTGCAGATCTCAATAATACTAATATAATGTTGAAGGATCATCTATTTTCTACAACTTTATAGGTTGTAAGTATAAGCTGGAAATTCCTTTTTACTGGTGTCCCACTAACTGTTTTTGGCACACCCCAAATACAAGTCAGTGCGGCCAAGCAGAACATTGAAGCTGTGGTTGCTCACTTATTGGCTGTTTTATTCTTGCTTAATCAGCTGACTGTTCTTTAAAATATGTGTTTTTGTTACATAATTCTATCTAAAAAAAAATAGACCAAATCACAATTACATATAATTTGACAAACCAGTGACAGAAAAAACACACACACACCCTGTTGTTGAGGAATAAGCAATAACATTTATTTTTGTTCTTTCTTGAAAATAATATTATACATAATGCCATTATGTTTTTCTTTTTTTTTAATAATGTAACTGGATTACAATGAATTTGTCCACATCTGTTATGTTGTTCAATCCAAAGATCAACACAAACATAATTAATATTAATATAACATAAATGCAGTCCCTAGTCCTGTATAATTCTAATTTTTCTTACTTTTTTTAAATAACATTATCTCATGATGTTTAATCTAATTAATGAATATAACCAGTTTTTACATTATCTAATGCCCAACCTACAGAGAAATCACACAGTAAACTTCATTTAGGGCACTTTGGAATTGGTTCCATATAATTACGCATTTTTGTGTCTTCTGTTCTCTAACATCTCTGCTGTCATCACTTAGTCATGCTTAAGTGTTAAGATTTTTGGTATCTTGGACTCAAAGATAGTAAAAATGTTCATGTGTGTTTTAAGTTACAGACTGGTGGCAAATTCAACAAAGAACATAGAAAAAATGAGTGGAGAAACATAACAAAAGCAGATGCTTTTATAGAAAACATGAGGGGATTTTTGGACTGTTAGGCTCTCCACCACCATTGTCAAAACACAAAATGAGGGTAATCGCTGTTCGTGTGGCTTGTGGTAGCCCAAGACTCTATGTTGGCCTTTCCTATAATTTGTTACTCATTGGCCTCTCTGAAATAAATACAACATAGTTCAGATGTTTGTTATGTGGAGGTTTATTCCTATGTTGATTCCAGTGTTGATTCTGTGAACAGAGCTTCTTCTAACAGAGGACCCGTTTGTGTTGAATGTTCACTCCCATGATGTTAGTGTTTGTGCCCGCTGACTAACTGCCCCTTTACTGAAAGAAGACATTGTCATCCTGGAAATATGCAAAATTGGAGACAGAAATGAATCATGGGAAGACGGTTTACACTCACGATCGCAGTACTTGCTGATGATTAGATTTTTTTCCCCAAAACCTTTTAAGGATAATTGGATTGATTACGCGCCAGAGAATCTTCTCGTCAGTGCAGAATCACCAGAAAACCTCGCTGTGGCCTTACTTTTTAACTCTGGACTATAATCTGTACACGCATCTCTAAGCGAGATTAATTCATCCATGAGACAGACGCAAACAGTAAATTGTTAAGATGCCATATATGTGGAATAGAGATGAAGTGGACAAACAAACACATCCACACTCAATTTATCTCCTGTGTCACTTCTAACTGTTTACAATAGGCCACACCAGCTTCTGTTTATGCAGTTATGCACAGTAGAAGGGTTTATCAACTTCTTTTTTCAGTGTGTGTTTAGTATTCCTGCCACGGGCGTGTGGGAGAACGTGTGTGTGTGTGTGTCTGCCTGACGTGTGAGTGCCCATGAGGCAGCTAGGAGTGGGAGGCTAAGACGTACCGGAGCTATTAATAGGCTGCCGAGCTTCCACTCATAAAGTGAAACGGGAAGGAGGGATACCTTACACAGCGTCCAACACCTAGATCTGCAATGCAGCACGGAGGGAGAGGAAGAGAGAGAGAGTGGCGGGGGGGGGG